CCTCCGGGAATCTCTCTTCTCTTAGCATCTATCACATTCCTTTGCTTCTTCCAAATCAGTCCATTACTCTCCTTCTCTCTCTCTCTCTCTCTCTCTCTTTCTCTCTCAAATCCCAACGTTTTGAGCTCAATTATTAAGAATGTCTGCATGGAGACACATGGCATCTGTCGATAGGTCTGCATGGATCCGTATGCAATATAACAGCACATTTACACAGCCTTGCCTCACTTTATCCCATTCACTTCTCTCAGCAACCCTGTGGCTCTTCCTCCCCTTCCCTGAGGAGATTGTACACTGGTATACCACAGCACTGCTTTGGCATGGGGGCTAATAGGTGTAGGTGAAGCTTTAACTTCGTTTCCTGTGAATAAAGGCATCCCATAGAGGACTCGAGGAACATAAATCTTTGCAATTACTTAGAGCACAGCAGTGAGTTAACCATCTTTTGTTTGTTCATACATTTTTGGTAAATTTCATGAAATTTATTGGATGTTAAATGTTGAATGCTACATTCTCTGAGTTAGATTGACATCTATTTGAAGTCCTATATATTACTCACTCATCCCCATAAAGCGTTTTGTCATTTACTATCATTTATTTAAGACATTCTGTTCATTGCTTAATGTAAAATATAAAATATCAGTTATATTACTGGAAACAAAATACTGCTGAACGATCAATAAATATAAAATATATCATAAAATCCATGTAACATTTAATACAACTCCTCGTTATATTCATGGAAAAAAAATATTCTTTGAGATTAATTATAATACTCCATAATTATCCATATTCGAGAATAATCCCTTGTACAATCTCTCATATAAATTCTGAAAACCTTTCTCTTATTCTTTCTAGAAATATTAAAGAGTCCGATCTTTAAATATCCTAAAGACAAATAAAAAATCTAAAATATTCCTCGTATCTTATTTTTTTTACTAAAGTCTAAAAAAATACAAGTCATAAAAAAGGATTAAATATGAATTGTTAGGTTTTCTTCCTTTACAAAATTATTTTCTCATACTAGAATTTCTTGTCAATTAAAAATCAAAACTCTTCCTCATACTAAAATTTTTTTATTCATCGAAAATCCTAATATATTTACCAATTCCGACACATCATTATCAGGTAGCTCACCATGCATTGCTGCTTGTGTGCCATCCTCAAGTTGTTTAGTTGCATTACATATCATAATAAAAGAAATTACGGGAAAAATCCATACTATAAATGTGTAGAAAAGGAGCATCCAATTATATAGCTACAAATTTCTTTAAGAAGGCGAGAGTTACAGATAACTAAACGTACTATCATCGGGGAAGGATGGAAATTTGATGACATGACCTGCCAACTACCAAAATAAGTCATCGAGTTGCTAACTTTATGTGTTAGGATTAGACATATCTAATTAATACACTCATTCTGTAGTGTTTGCACTAGTGTGTTAGCTAGGCATGTCCATTGACATGCCATACCATGTCACTCTATTGGAGGTACATTAATTTGGTGCAGTCCATATTATTTATGATTACAGTAATATGAACTAGTATTTATGATTAATCTTGTACATCATATGGTAAATGGGTGACCAAGGCAACAATGAAAGTGAGAAAGAAAAAAGAAAAGGTCAGAAGTGGGAGCTTCACTTTCTCTGACAAGGAGGTGAGCAATGAACTGTGAGGTTCCAAAGGGAAGCATCTTTTATCAGTTGGGATGCATTAGAACAAAATGCTTTCTTTCCTTGGGACCAGATTGGTGTGAATAAGGATGTGACGCTTTGGAACAAATGCTTTGAAGCAAGTGAAGCCATGACCTAACTCTTTGCCATGTCCAAGGCTATCAAATGAGTCAAAGCCACATAGAACGTCCTGCGCATCACTTGCAACTTAGTCCTCTTAAGGACTCAAATTGATACACTATTAGACAAAGTCAAGCCACTCGATGTAGCATATCTGACCACCAATGATTCAAAAATTTAGTTCATCTATACATGCATGTCTATATATAAATATAAGGGGTGGAGGCATCACTGTCATGAATTGAATTTGAATTTTATGGACATTTCAAATCTCATAAATGCACCACTCATAGGGTTGGGTTCACCAAGCATTGCCATAGATGTTTTTTATATTCCCATGGCCTGCTCAAAACTTGGGAATGTGAGCTGCCATTTCTTTTCCATGGAAGTAACTCAAGACTTTACTTTCCTTGCAGGAGTTGTGAGTTTGTGTGCAATGTAATATTGCTTATTTACACACTGGTAGAAGCTCCAATCATCTCTCGAGTTGCACTCTGTGGCAGATCTATCAGCTCGAGTTAAAACATCAAGAAACTAATTGTACTTTCCAACGAGTAAAAAGCTTATTCTTTTGTATGTCACAGGGGTTTGAAATTCCAGTCATGAGGAAGGAGGACAGGAGAGAGTCAACTGTGTGTGAAGGAGGTCAACATGTCAAAA